ATGTCCTCGTTGCCGTCGCTGTCGTGGTTTGCTTAAGGTCCCCATTTACAAGCGCGCCAACAACCTCGCCCCGGGATCCTGGGGTTGTGAAATTGTATGTAAACGCGGGCTTTTTCTCGACCACGGCTAGAAAAGTTACCTAACCTACTTGGGATCTCCCACCTTCTAGTAAACAGGCTCTTAGAAACTCTTTAGGGAGAAGAAAATTTACCATCATCATCTCAGTTGTTAAAACCAAATTACCTTGTAGTTCCCCCCTCCAACGTAGCACCAATCAGATATTTGATTCCATTACTATGTCATCTTTGCTAGACAGAGTGTCTTCCTCGTCTTGGTGTTATGGTTGTAGCATGTAGCGATGGCTTGGTTCGTATTCTGAGGTAATTTAAAAACCTTTTTGCTGTAAAGTTATGATTCATAGCGTCTCTAGGCACACACTGTGATACACAGCGTTTTTTGGTGATTGGGATAATATTTTTGACCAGAAAATTGATTGGATTAAATTGTCGGAAGACATGATAAACTATTTAGTTTTAATGGGGAAGAGTTCACTTTGATGTTAGTCAATAACCGATAAAATTCCAGTCAAACACCTCAGTGTTCCGAACAGTGAATATTTTGTTAACTGTCAGGCCACCTTTTCGCCATCCATTTGTTTTCTTGTTCTGAAATCCTTCATGATTGAAAATAGGTTACCGAGACGTAATCTGGCCATGTTTTAAGAAGGCCTGTCTTAGAGTCTTTCGAAATTGAACTGAAAAATACAGCAAAAAAGAATTTCTGTAGTTATCTGTAAATAGTAGGCGAGTGGCGTAGATACGACTTACAACAGCTTAAATCAGATGCAGTACAACATTACCGGAGAAAAAAGGATCAAAGATGGGTAATAGTTTTAAAGTAGAGGCCAACTTTGCTTCTCTTCTGTTCAACTCAATTTTTGGATCAGTGATGTAAGTGATAATGACGCTGTTTGTTTTGCAGCATTCCTTGGCCATCCGAGTTGGAATCTGCCCAAGAGGTGAAGGACTCAAAGAACAATTTTAAGACAGGTGT